GGGGACTGAAATGTTTTTTGATTGGTCACTGGAAATGTATCTTTGAGAGAAGGTTTCTGACTGGGGTTTGAGTGACTGCCAGTGCCGGATTAACCATTAGGCAAATAAGGCAATTGCCTTGGGGCCACTCAAAAAAATAGGCCACAAATAGGGCCAGAGACAGGGTACAACAAGGCCACATTTTTTCGGGTTTTTTTTCGTTTTGATCAGGCCGCAGCAAGGCCAGTCAGGAAGGCCACAACTAGAATAGCCCCAAGCTAGCCCAAGCCAGAGTCCGACTGGGTTTTTAGTCCCAGGCCTAGTTCAGAAAGTACTGTGACATTTTGTTTGGCCTCTCTCTAGGCCATATTTTTTTTCTCAAATTAAATTGAATCAGGGCATTTTCAAACTCTTGTATACCACTGGTGTCCACTCAGCTTTTCCAGACTGCGAGATAGCATTGCGGATGTACCTGTCTCTAATGTCAACTAACTGCACTGGTGAACGTCCATTTTCGCAATTGAAATGCAATAAAGACGTTAAGCGTTCAACCATGTCGCAGCAAAGGCTAGGGATGCTAGCACTTCTTTCAATTGAAAGCGATTTACTGCACAACGTTGACATTAACAAAGTTATTGATGAATTCGCTGTTGCAAAAGCAGGCAAAGTGGCAATTTGGGAAAGAAATAATGCAAAATTTTATTGTTGTGAGATCTTAGTTAACATTATTTTACTGGTATGTTGTCCATGTTCCATAGTGTCATACTTTGGACTGGCTGACAGACAGACACACGTACAGACAGACCGTGCATGTATCTGGGGTGTGTGTAGTTTTGAATTTGCACGCGCGCTGTGTGTGTCTGTTTGTTTTTGTTGGGGGTTTTTTTTTTTGGGGGGGGGGAGATTTTGCACCGTATCTAACTTTTTCAGGCCACTCAATGAAGTGTGCCTTGGGGCCAGCCGGGTCTTAATCCGGCAGTGGTGACTGCGTGTAATGTTTTGTTAGGTCTAGGCCTGATGCGAGACACCCGTAAATGCCATAAAACACTAGATCTAGACAGGATTAAAGATTAGACAAGTGCCTAATCAGCTGCGCTCGAAGAACTATAATCATGTACTTGTTCAACTAATCACGAGAGAAAAGTTTCTCTGAATGAGAGAATGATTCTGCATGAATTTACCGTCGGTGCTGGTCGCTTGGAAAGTCACGTGGCTGGTCTGTCGTCTCTATGACTATCACCAACAGTTTCCTCTTAGGCTATCTGTTCCCGACGTTTATAGCGCATATTTACTACATTGAGTCTGTCTTCCCCCCCCCCCCCCCGCCAAAGTATTCTTAACCCCAGTCGGGGAATCCATCACAAAAGTCACGTGTCATCACATTATCTGCCAAAATGACCTCCTCCCTCCAAGGGAGGTCACTGGAGTAATAAGGAATTGATATATTGTCATAAGTGTTATGAACGAACCACTAAATGTATTCTGAGGGTTTTTCAGTGTATAAACTTTAAATTCTTTCTACATATATATATAGGCACATTTTGAAGTCTCATAAATGAAAACCATTTTGTGTGAATGACAACGATAAGCTAATTTTTGGGGGCCCAAAGTAAAATTTGTCATAATAGTTATGAACGAAACAGTTTGTCATAATGGTTATGAAAGAACCCTCATTCCATGAAATTTACAGTTGTTTTGGGATACATTTTTAATTTTAACCCAACTAAAGGATGTACAGTCAAACCTGTGTAAGACGAAATCGCACGGGAGCCAGAAAAAAAATCCGTCTTAGACAGGGGAATTTAGGGGGAGAAGGAAAGGGGGGGGGGGGATTTCAAAGGCCCAGCCGGTGTGATCTAGGATCGCTTGCCCGATCGGCAGGCAATGGTCAAAACTTCACACCTCTCAGCTGCTATCCTGTCTGATAATGACTTGCGTCAGTCTTACTTATCCGATTACCACCAGTGCTTGCCTTTCATAGGATCACTGTTTCACCTATTAAAAACAGAAACGTTTGAACATCCCCTTTGCTTCCACCCTTAGCCCCACCCACCGGTAGTGTAACAAGCACAGTCAACCAATGCCACCCCTCACTGCCATCATGTAACTACGATTCGAGGAACTCTTTTCTCGACTGGCGTACGATCAGGGCGGCAGGCATTGGTCAAACTAATTTCACACCTCTGGCTTCTGGGTACCCAGGAAAGTTTCCGTAGAGGCTCGCTACTCGAGCACTCTCACCGGCAGTCATGAAATTTCACACCCACACTACACTGACCATCTGCATTGCTCAAGGCTCGCATGATGGGGTAACATCTACCCCCAAATTGCACCCCTACTTCCCTTCCTCGCCTTGCGGCATGGCCATGGCGTTAAGTTTAGAGCCGGCGGAACCAAACTTGCGAGTTTTGTTTCAAATCAGGGCTGAGTGGGCAGAGCATTGTCCGTCTTAGACAGGTGAAACCCTCAGAAGGGAGTGGATTTTTCTTTCCGTTTCCGCATTGGACAAGTTTCCGTTTTATACAGGTAATTAAAGAGGAATAAATCAAGGGGGGAGCGGGGAGATTCCGTTAAGACAGGTTTCCGTTTTATACAGGTTTCTGTTAAGGCAGGTTCAACTGTATTAGTACTAGACTTTGCTTACATTCTGATATTTTGATTTTTATCATAAGTATGAGTGTGTATTTCAATCAGTTTTTTACTTTTGTAGTAATTGTTATGAATTAACTACTTTTTGTCCTTTTAATAAACTTTGAGGGCTTATCGCTGTTAATAAACTTTAAAAACATGTACACAGATACATATTATTAATTTAATACAAGTTTTTTCAAGTGAATGGCAGATCAAATGTATTGATTTTTAGATCAAAACTGAAGTTTGTCATAATTGTTATGAATGAACCATTTAATGTATTCTGAGGGTTTTTCAGTGAATAAACTTTGAATTCTTCCAACATATATGCATATTTTGAGGAGAGTCTCATAAATGAAAACCATTTTATGTGAATGACAGAACAATAAGTTAGTTTTTTTTAACCCAAAGTAGAATTTGTCTTAATAGTTATGAGCGGAACAGTGTGTCATAATGGTTATGAATAAACCTGTAATTTATTAAAACCTGTTTGCGTTGAAAAATAATTGTTAAATGGTATTTTATTTATCACTTGGCTATAATTAGACCAGAGTGTTATTTTTACAGACAATTCTAGTCAATGAAACATGACATAATTTATAGTTTTTTGGTCACTTATAGTTCGTTCATAACTTTTATGACACAAAACAGTAGGTCTAATTTTATCAAAAATTAATAAAGCTTTCTATACCCTGTCAATTCTATGTATTGTTGGAAGTTGTTTGCTATGTCTCAAAATATAACCTCAGCCTAGCTGAAGAAAGGAACTTTGATTATTCACAAATTTATGTCATCATTGTTATGAACGAATTTTTCGCTATTTCCATTATTTAAGCCAGACCATTTCATATACAGCTTTGGCTGTTACTGAGCCTGTAAGAGCAATCATTAGGCCATGGATGATTAAAAAGTTACTACATAAAGTTGATTTTAGACCTCATTTGTCACACTCGGGTATCCCACCTTTTGGCAAAGGCTCTATTATTATTATTATTGTTATTATTATTATTATTATTGTTATTATTATTATTATTATTATTATTATTATTATTATTATTATTATTATTATTATTATTATGTGTGTAAGGAGTGTAAGGGTCATTTCATATTGACTGTATTCATTGTAAATGTATAATGCCATCATCTACATATTTTGCATACTATATCATATGCAAGCTGTTGGTCGAATGTATACTGGTGTCAGCTTGTTTGTACATTTTGTTGCAAAATACTTACAGTTTTGTCTGTAGTAAACTATTTGCAACCAGTGCTATTCTCTCAAATAGAAACTGTATAGTTGTCCCTTTTTCTCTTCTTGTAAATGGGATCGGCTGATTATTTGATCTACTAGACTAGGAATATAATTTTTGCACAGGGAAGCAGTGTGCGCAATACTTTCTGCCAGTAAATTTTAAAAGTTTTTTTAAGGAGTGTTTTTAAGTTTATTAACAAGAAAGTTTTTATTCTAAATTGAGAATGGCTTGTGATAATTTTTTTATATTATTTTTTGCTTCACGCTTTTTATATTTTCTGATTTTGGCCAGGACATGTTGAAACTCAACATCATTTAATTTGTTATTTCAGAAATGGGAGTTCCTCTCCCGGTTCTGCTTCCTGAACCAGAAATCAGTAAACGGAGATGGAAAGCTCCAGTACAGCTTGACATATCCTGTGGTGAGTATTCAGAAATTAGTAGACCTCAGAGTCAATCTGAAGTCGATGTACTTACAATAGGCCCTTAAAAGTTTGTATGTGTTTATCCTGTGTTGAGTGTTGGCAGGTGCTCTGATGTGGTTTGCTCCTTCTTTCTTATCAAACATCTATGGTCCATATCTCTCCTCCTTTTCTTCACATGTTACTCTCCAGAAACACGTTACTTAAATGACATACATTTGTGTTGCTATTACAGTAAAAGTCGATGTAAACCTAAAATAAACTCTAAATTTTGTGTACTTGGCTATGAAGTAATGTTTTTTTAGGGATCTCGAATGTGTAAAAATGTATGGGATGTGTGCAGCCCCGTGGTTTTTTTTAGCTAGGGTTGTCGTGTCTTGCTGAAGGTTACACCCCTAGTGACCACCCACCTACACCCTGTGTTACAGACACTTGCTTGACATTACTTTTGAGTCTAAACTCACTACTCACTTAGCCACTGAAAATTCCAACCAGGGCCATCTGCACTAAAACCCAGGAGGATGCTAACTGAGTTAATGATGCACCCTTGAACAAAAAAGCTTTATGAAGGTTTGGGCACAGGAGGACGGTATGGTTGTTCTGATCTTGGTTTGTTACCAGTCCTGTGCTCCAGGGGCTAAGTGAGTAGTGAGTTCAGACTCAATTAATATCAAGCAAGTGTCGATGACACAAGGTGTTCACTGGGGTGTGTCCTTGAGCAAGACACGACAACCCTAGCTAAAAATACAGGGCACTGCACAGTGGCGACCGGCAATGGCATGGTTGTAAATTGTTCTGTACTGGTGCAATATTGTGTATTTATGTGTGCCTTTGTGCATGTATTTGTGTATGCATGTATTCATAATTGTGTGTGTGTGTGTGTGTGTGTGTGTGTGTGTGTGTGTGTGTGTGTGTGTGTGCGCACCATTGTAAACCAAATTGCCCTTCTGGGATCAATAAAAGTGTAATTTATTTTATTTTTTATTCGAAATTGAAAAAAAAAAGAAGTTTTTTTTAGGCCCTGTTGCAACAAATTAGATCATTTAGGAGGTGAGCTTCTGACCCTGCCTGTCACAGCCAACTGAGGTGAGAAGGTTACAACATCTCAGCCAAAAGAACGAGATACTCGATAAAAAAAACAAAATTCTATAAAGATTGCCAAACGGTTGAAAAAATGCTGGTATTTTCTATTTTATTATTTTGATGAACGCCTGATTTCACCACGATACCTCCCATATTTCCTTATATAATTTGAGTTGTCATTGTCTGTCAAACAGGACTATGGAATCCAGAACTTGCTGTTCTACTACGACACCCCTGGCCAGTGGGAGTCTGTCTACAAGAGAGATAAAGTGAGTGCAAATTGTGGATTGTGCACGCTCAAACACAAACAAACTTATCTGATTCCATCACTTTTCCCTGTTCCGTTTTAGGACTGGGGTGCATTTATTTAATGCATCACTGTGAAACTCTAAGTTACTCTAATATGTATTGTCATATACCAAACTGATGGGAATCAATATAGGAATCTGTTTATATGTATCAATAACAATGACCTATAATCTGTTCGTATTGTATTTTCCCTCAGACAAAAACAAATGAGGAAAAAAAATTGCCAACACCTCTTCGAAAATTTCGACTTACTGCATTTTCTCAGCTCTACAAGTCCTTATAATCCATAGGAATCAACACAAAATTGTAGCGATATCACCATAGCACACATTTATGAAAGAATTTCACAAATTTAGTTGAGTATCTTTCTTTGAAGGGCCTTTTTATTATACCGGGCTCCATGTTATTTACCCTTAGATCTAGCCTACATAGTGACAACAAAACAACGAATTTAGCAAGAATTTTGCGGAGTTTCGATCGACATTGGCGCTCAAATATTGAGGTCAGGCTTGTTTACTTGTTCTACTTCCTTTCGACAACTTAAAAAGCAGGAACTATGTTTAAAAAGTGCACTTTTGTTTCGGATTTTGTTGAGCCACTCACAGCGATTGAATGGAGGCAGCGGAAAAACTCAGAGTCGCTGTCAGCAGCCGAATGGACGGAATCAGTTATATAAGACCTTTAGCTGTCTATAGCTTGGTACCCATTCCCATGTAAAATAGTTGCCTTTCCAGTCTAAGGATACAACGTCGGGCCCCTGATGGGATTAACTCTTTATAATTTGACATTGAAGTTGTTGTAAAGGAATGTGACTGAGCAGCTCAATGGCACAGCAGTTCCGACCATGAGCTGCTGGAAGCGGCTTGCTGCAGATAAGGAGTTCATGAAGGGGTAAAGTGAAAAGCAGGCTAATACGGGGTGCCCATTGGCACGATCAGTTTAGTTCGGATCAGTTAGGTTTGCTAGCCAGATTAAGGGCTCAAAGCGGCTATCGTGGCACAAACTAATTACCTGACTCGTGGCCTTAAAAACACACGCGTTTGTTTTCTGGCAACAAATTAGGCGATCAGTTTGTCGATACTCCAATGGGCACCCCTTATAACCACATTAATCCTTCCTCAACTCAGTCTTGATGTCTTTTTACAAAAATAGAAAAGTTTGTGAATGGCTTAGTGATAGTTGTTTTTTCGTTTGATAGATTTCAAAGGCATACAAGTACTGTAGTCAGTTATTGTGGATTTTCTCTCCAGAAGTGGACTTATATTTCATCCCCATCTGTTTCTCCTCCAGTTCTGTCCAGCTTAGTTTCTAAAAAGTCTTTAAAAGGTTTATTTATTATCTTTTTCTCACTGTCATTAGGGTTGAGAAAATATCCTGGATGTTATTGTTTGGTTTGGTTTTGAGAGTCATTCTGAGTGACTGATTGTGGAATAAGTTGTCTGAGAATGGGAGCATTTGTAAAATGCTCAGAGAGAGTAGGGATTTTTTGTTGATGTTGTTGTTGTTGTCATCATCTTGACTATTATCATGATCATTATTATTATTATTATTATTATTTATTACAGTCCATGCCGGCTTTAAGCACGCCAGCCTTAAGCACGTTTCGGACTCAAGCACGCTAAACGGCTCTTACCGGATTTTTGCTATATAAATTACACGCCTTTAAGCACGGTAACTTCGGCTTCAAGCACGCTTCATTTACAAGACAGTCAATATTTTCATGATGACCCATCGGAGTTCGAACACAGTTTACTCCGCAGCAGTGGAGTGTGTCAAGAGAAACACAAAGAACGCAAGTAATAGACACACACACTCACACGGGCGGAGAGGAAAGCAGAGAGATGCTTTCTCACAGTCGTGCGCGCGGACATAGGATCTAGCCTGGGCCTAGGGCAAAGCTACACACGACCAAAAAAAAAAAATACAAAGAGAGCTGGGGAGACGAGAAAGGGAGGTTGGCTGCGATTTCACCTTTGACCCTCGCTATCCATTAATCCTGATTGTGTATCACGCGCGAGGTGGGATGAAGGCGGTGGTATGAGTGGCACAGCGGGCAGTGGTACGCACAGACAGTGTGTTACAGTAGGCCAAGTGTGCTGTATCGTGACTGGCCGTCTAAATTAAGTTTTCATTTCCCATTTGACCACAAAACAAAAGCAAACAAGCGAACGAAAACTACCATGGCGGGTGTCTAAAATAACAGTGCACACTTTTGCGGGACCGCTACAGGCCTACTTACAAACAAAGGGAAATAAGCACGGGGTATTTTCAACATGAAAATCTCTAGATTATGTCTACTTCGCACTTAAGCACGCTTCGACTTTAAGCACGCTTAAGCTTTCTCCCGATGACCGTGCTTAAAGCCGGCATGGACTGTATTTATTTTACTTTTTAAAAAAATAATTTTTCAATCAGTTTCTTTTCTTTTTCAAAATTAAGTATATCATTATCATTATCATTAATGTGTGAGGCCATCAAATGTTTTGTTTGTTGAGAATCAAACAGTATCGCTATTTTCTCTTACTTTCTCAGACATGTGAACAAAAGTTTGATGCTCTAAATGGCAGAAACTACTTTCCTTTGGACGATTCCCTGTAAGTACCCTTTTCTATGTCGGCCCTTTGAAGCTGAATCTTTGTAAAATCTAATGTGTTTTTTCTTTTATACTACATATGTGTCGTTACACGGTGGAATCGGGCGCTCGTCAATTTGGCTTGGGGGCTTATGAAGCTATTGGTATACCTTTAAGGCTTGTTCGTTTGTCTTGCTTTTGTTTACAAGGTACCCATCTTTCTTGAATAGGAGTCGAGATATTCGTAGTTAAAGGAGGTGGGGGAGAGGGGGGAATGGGGAATGGAGTTTCTTTGATTTCATTATTTTGACATACGCCATATTCCATCAAGACACCAAACATATGAATATATATTATTTGCATATTTATTATATATTGACAACTCAGTAGACGTATAAGACTGTTAAACATCACTTTTCAAAATGGCGTATTGTGGAGTCTTACACTAAGCTGTCAATATGTGTATTTATTTGATTATATTCTTTTATATATCGTCGCCTGAGTACAGCAACCCTGTATCCCACAAAAACAAAATTTTGCACGAGAAGGAAAAACTTTGTCAATTCATCTAACAGAGTCTATTAAAATTTAAAGTCGGCATGTTGCACTGGCGATGTTTATCGAGCTACTTGTAAAACATTTTAACGCAAAATCCGCAACGTTACATTTAGTAGAAAAAAAACAAACAAATAGTGTTGGTTGCAGGGTTGTTGTAGTCAGGTCACAATATGTTGTTGTACGTGGATCATTTTAGAGAGTGTTTTTCTGTTAGAGTAATACAAATAACATTCAAAGTTATGAAGCACATGTCGATAGCTGTGTAATTCACTGATATCTGCTCTTTGTAGTTTAGAAAATTTTCACTTTCACTTTGTGTGTTTATCTTGTTTGTCTTTGAACTTCAGCTTTCGGGCAATAACTTACACACTTCATTGTTTGCTTGTTTAGCGTGTTGACTACAGTTTGGATCCATACAATCTGGAGAGTTCTGCAGCACCTCAGTTGTTTAGAAGATTATGGAGGGTTTTTTTCTCCTAGGATTTGCGAAAGGGGATTCGCAATTGATCCAACATAGCTCATAGCGGCAGGCTGTAGTTTGTTTTCGGCAAAATATCGTTAGGATAGTTATAAGCACAAAGTGACAATTATCAATGAAAGAGCCATGTATCGGGGAAAGGAAAATGAATACATAGAATGGCACATAAATGCAATCTATGGTTGTATTAATGTGAGACTGTTATTTATATTATCATTATTATTATATTTACTAATAATATTGTTATTATTATTATTATTATTATCATAAAACAAAACACCAAACTGAGAAGAAATGAATGATTTTAGCAATAAACAAACAGTTTGTTTATAGTTGCAAAGATTGGCTGGTAGTTTGACAGATTTTGTGTCGCCACTAAGCAACGGAGTGATGCCATGTGCCAGCTGAAATAATGCTCCGTGTATGCTTAGCTACTCAGAGTTCAGCTTTCTCCTCATGTACAGCAGGGGCGTAGCTGTGGTGAAATGGTTATATGCTCTTTGTTGTTGCATGCAGGTGACACGAGTTCAATACCAGTTTGGAAAAATTATTTTATTAATCGAATGGTTAGGCTCTTTGCTGTTGCACGCAGATGATGCAAGTTCAATTTCTGTTTTGGAAAAATCATTTTATCAATCGTCTCTGTCTGTCTACTGGGATGCTGTTTCCTACTCAGCCCAGGCTGGCCCTGACTGGTTAAGCTGCGGGACTCACAACCGTAAGGTGGTGGGTTCAAATCTTGTCAAAGACCCAATGCTGTGTCCTTGGTAAGGGCACTTTACACAAATTTTCCTTGGTAAAGGCACTTTACACGAATTTTCCTCACTTCACCCAGGTGGGAATGGGTACCCAGCTGTAGACCGCAAAAGACCTTGTCAGTTTGTTAGTGTTTGGGCGCATGCTATCTGCAACTTGCACTATATGCTTCCCGTGAAGCCTAGAATGTTTTTGAGTATTCTATGGTCTGCTGTGCTAATAATGGTTGTAAAGCACAGAGAGTATACTGTAGAACGTGGATGCGCTTTATGCAAATGTAATTATTATTATCTTTAGGGTTGAAGCTGCCTGTCTGGTCTCCTGATCTGAATTGTGTTGATTTGTGTGTGTGTGGGGGGGGGGGGGGGGAGGTAGAGAACCAGTTGCAATATTGCACAGCAGTTGTTTTTTGTTACCTTAACAATGTCCTTTTTTTGGGGGGGGGGGGAGGGGGTGTTGTTGCTCTGAATGGGAGCCACCTTACACTGTGAGCTTTCATCGCATGTGTTTCTTTCCTTTTTTTGTTATCATTTAACATTTTGTTACTTCAGTATTATATCAGGCAAGCTGTTCAGCTATTGTAAGCGTATCTTTGTTTGCTTTTGTTTTTTACATTCAAAATTTAAAATTTCAACAAAATATTTGTGTCGTGACAGGATGGAATCAGGCGCTCGTCAATTTTTGGGCATATGGGGTTATTGGTATCATCTTAAGTCTTCTTTGTTTGCCTTCCTTTTGTTGAAAAAATATCATCTATGTTGAACAGAAGTTGAAATATTTGCAATTGAAAGAGGTTAGGGTTGCCTGGGTTCAGAGGTAAAGTAGTGAGAAAATGGCCGCCAAAGTTTAGTAATTTCCATAGCCCAAGAGTCTTTGGAAACTGAAAATTTAAATTTTTTGTGCCTTTAATCAATGTTTTTCAGTAAAATCCGCACAAAAATGTTCTTTTTTAATGGACGCAAAAAAAAAAATGTTAAAAAAATTGCCCATCAGCAGAAAAAATGCTGATTTCTTTGATTTCATTATTTTGACGAGAACCTGATTTCACCATGATGCCTCCCATTTCTCCACAAACACATGCTACCAATACCACAAATATTGAAACTGCAATTATAACAAAATTGTTTAAATTTTGAGTTTAATATATCTGAACAGCCGGCCGAGGGTTTGCATTTTACCGCTATAATGCTCTGCAAGATTATTTAGTTTCTGGGATATTTACCATATATTTGTGTTTTTTGTTATTGTGATTTCTCTCAGGGCGACCCGTGAAGTAACGTAAGTTTTCTGTGTACATGTACATATATATTCAATTGGGTTTTTTTAATTTGGCTTTTTGCTTGTACTCTTTCTGTTGTGGATGCTTTGCTAGGGATGGAAATACAACCGTATGTATGCTCTAAGGGCCGCCTGTCCAAGACATTCACCTGTACAAATGACCACTTCCACTCCCGCCACCCGTTGCGATATAAAATAATATTGTAAACACAGTGTGCATGATGTCCACCTGTTTAAGACAAATACGTTTTTCCCCTTGAAAATGGGTGGCCATCTTGGACATTGTGCAGTGTGTACATAATGTTGAAATCTGTTGTCCCTATGGAATTGCTTTAACGTCTTGGTGGCTGTCTATAAGTACACTCATCATCGCCTGGCAGCACTTACTGCAGGACCAGCGACAAGAATACTAAATTTCAAGAATGCTTTTCAATAAAAGTGTCTGACACTCTGTATCTAATCCCAAGTTTTTCTAACATTTAATTTGCTGCACTGAAGTAAAGGCATTGAGCTGTTTTCGTTCGCTAGTCTTATTTGGATTAGAACAAAAATCATTCTTGTGTTCGTGGTGGGTATGCTTTTCATAGAAAGTATAGTAGGCAGCCAAAGGTCTGACCATTCTGTGTGCTACGGGGTGGCTGGTCCCATTATTATGTGGTAGGGTGAAGACTGAGCTACAACAGTTTTTACATGTAGGGTATTTATGTATTAATCTATGCGTAATGTCTTTATGTATTTATACCTGCCAGTGCAAAGCAAATTCCCCAAGAGGATTGATAAAGTGGAATTTATTTTATTTATTTTGTTTTAAAATCATTTTGTGTATAGTCACCCGGTAGCCTTTCTTTACATGCGTGATGTCCATTTCACACACTATTGTGATTTTGATACTCATATGATTAAAGTGTTTCTATTATTGGTTTGCTCTTTGGCGCATGCCTTATGTCTAGCATTGCATACATTTCTGTAGCCTGCACTTTTCCTTATGTGCTCATTTCCTTACAGCCACTCTTTCTTCTGTACGTGTATCTTCATTCAGCCTCCTGTCTACTATACTTTCATCACCATATGGCCATTCATCGACCTCAATTTTGTCTTCATACAGCCACTCTATTTACCACAATTTTGTCTTCATATGGCCTCAGTTTACTACAATTTTGTCTTCATACGAGCATTCTGTCTATTATACTTTTGTCTCCATATGGCCACTCTATCTACCACAATTTTGTCTCCATATGGCCTCAGTTTACTACAATTTTGTCTTCATACGGGCATTCTGTCTATTATACTTTTGTCTCCATATGGCCACTCTATCTACCATAATTTTGTCTCCGTTTGCCCACTCTGTCTATCATACTTTTGTCTCTGTGAAATATTGATTTTATCTCTATATGGCTACTTTGTTTAGGGTAATTTTATCTCTGTATGGTCACTCTGTCTTTCATAGTTTTTATCTCCAAACATGGCCTCTGTGTTCCGCATAGTTCCTGTCGCACTGTAAAATGTAGAGAAGCCAGCTCCTATATACTTTTTAACAACTTTTCAAAGAGTGAATATTCATAGACAGATTTATAATGCTAGATGTTAACAGACCCAGTCTTGAAACACTGAAATTCCAAGATGCTACTGGTTGGTCGTACTTCTTTATTCTCCATCTGTCATTTCTTTCTATCTGTCCTGCCCTCTCCTGAAGTGGCAATTGTGCTGTCAATGTGCTTCTCCTTGCTTTCACTTGAAGTACAGCTGTTGATTTGGATTGGATAGAAAAGTGAATAGTAGGCATAATAAGTTTCCTGAAGGTTTAGGTCGAGAAAAAGACCACGACCAAAGCATCTTCAGGGATAATAGTTTTATTATTTACGGTTCAATCAATGAATTATTCTCCTTTTGACAAAAATTCATATAATTACAGACACCTGTGATCCTTTCTAGCTTTTTCAAATTTATATAAAATGGAAATTGTTCTTATTTGATTTCCTTGTTTAACATTTCACTACTCCAGAATTACAAAGTTATATCTGCTCAATACCTAGTGTTGAAAAATTTGACTTCAAAGATTTTGAGTTTCTCATCAAGGCAAGCTTTTTCGAATTCAATTTTTTGAATATCTTGATAGCGACTCTGAATAATCTTACGATTTTGATAGAGCAGACGAAACATTTGGTTTCTGATTTCATGGTCTTAGCAATTCAAAGCGACCAAAAATGTCAGATAGAACTTTGAAATTCTGAGGTAGTGATTAAGTACATTGTCGTATTATATCAGTTCAGAAGTATTGTTTAATTTAAAATGTTTTGTGTTGTTGGTGGTTCCTTTAGTGTGGTCTACTCTTTTTTTACTTGGTTTCTTTTCTACCATCATGCCGTCGAACGGTCTTAATGGAGTTTTGCTTTTTTTGTGGGGCCTGACTGTCAATTTCATTTCAACAAAAAAGCAGTACCAACCATATAAACATTAACAATAACAGTAGCAACTGAAACAAAAACAACAACAGCAATATCGACAGCAATAATAATAACAGCAGCAGCAGGAACAACAACAACGACAGTACTAACAGAGATAGCAACAATTGCATCAATATAATTAACAACATTATCATCAGCAACAACAGTCTCTCCACCACCACCCCCCCAACATCAATAACAGCAATAACAACAATAAAAGCATCAATGACAACATCATGATCAACAACAACAGCAACAACAATACCAACAATTTAACGGTATCCATCCTCAATCCCCAGGTGCATTAAACAGAACATATCTGGTGTGAGCAACTATGTGTGCACGGGCAAACTGGACTTCACATCTTCCCGAGAGAGGTGGTGGTATATGGTGGTCTCACGGTGCGCGCCTGCGGTTTCTTCCACGGTTTGTTTGGTTTGGTTTGGTTTTAATTGGGTTTGATGTTGTATGGAAAATGAGTGGTTAGGTGAGGTAAAGAAATGTCGGGCAGTAGGTAGAACTAGATAAATCTTTTTGTTTGAGTTGGATGTTGTATGGACAATGAGTCTTTAGGTAAGGTTAAAAAATGCCGAGCAAAATTAGACAAATTGTTTTGTTTTGTTTTAATTGGGTTTGATGTTGTATGGAAAATGAGTGGTTAGGTGAAGTAAAGAAATGTCAGGTAGAACTAGGTAAATGTTTTGTTTGGTTCTGTTTGGGTTCGATATTTTATGGACAATGAGTCTTTTGGTACCAAAGTAAAGAAATGCCAGGAAGAATTATGACCAATTCTTTTGTTTGGTTTTGTTTGGTTTGATAATATGTTGTATGAAAAAAACCGAGTTTTTAGGTTGGGTAAAGAAATGTCCTGGTTGAAGTCCTGGTTGAAGCAAATTATAGAAAACAACTTATCACGAATATAAGAAAACGACAGGCAAATTTTTTCGGACACACAATGCGGAAAGAAGCATTAGAGAACATTGTAACAACAGGAAAGTTTGATGGAAAGAGAGGTAGAGGCAGACAGAGGGAAAAGATACTGGACAAGATGACAACATGGCTGGGAGCAGCAAGAACAACAGACACCATTGCTGCTTCGAAAGACAGATGGAAGTGGAGGTCCATGATCGCCCACGCCAGTCGGCAAGGCACCGGATGATGATGAAAGAAATGTCAGGTGGAAGTAGATACATTTTGGGGGGGGGGGGGGGGGGGTTGAAAAACTGAATTATGTTCAGGCTTCTAATCCATTTGATATGAAAACATTTTTATTTTTATGCAGTATGAAAAATAAGTCGTGATTTTTTAAAGATTAAAAGTTAAGGTGAGGGGAGGAAATATAAGATGAATTCTTTAATTCTTTTGCTGATAAAAAAAATTGAATTAAGCTAAGCCAGGATTTCAAATCCTTTTGATTTAAGAGGTTGTTTTATTTATTTTATGTTGTTTGGAAAGTGAGTCATAGGTTTTTAAAAGCATGGTGAGGAAATGTAAGGTGAGGTAAAATAAGGGAAATTCTTTTGCTTGGTTTGAAAAGTTGAAATTATACCCAGATTGCACGTCTATTTTACTTGCTCAGTGCCTGTAATTATCTACACAAAACCTCATGTTTGCTATAACGAACACTCGAATTCAACGAGATTTTAGGTCTGGCCCGGCGACCTCGTTGAATCCGAGTTCCACTGTACTCAAACCTTGTAAGCCGTTTTTTTTAACTAAAGGGTTCCCGTTTCATTGGATGGGTGATAGTGAATTACATGAATTGAATTTTTTATTCTATATTCTAGCTTTCTGTTCAAGATTCGCAGATTTTCAGTGTCCCTGCATTTTGCCCTCCCACAGTTCTTATACCTCTCACACTGAAGTATCTTCTTGAGCCATTCAAGTTATTAACTCTACTTTGAGTTTGAGCAATAATTTTTGTCCTTCACGTTTATTTAATAAACCTTGACGCCAAGGCGCCCAAACTGGTTCTTAACAGTCGATATTCTCAGGCTCAAACCAAGATTCGTTTTATATAGTTTATATAGATAAATATATATAGGTGAATATGATGAGGGGAAAATATAAATTAAATAAATAAGAACAGACTGAAATACCTGAGTCACACAGTACCCCAGTGCCACACTGACATGTTGATGACTGGATATAATGTACCTACATGTGTGTGTATGTGTGTGTGTGTGTATTATAATAAATAAATGGAGCATGCACTGTCATTGTTATGTAACAACATGCCCCTGGAAAACAGATGCCCCCTCCCCCCCCCCCCCCCCCCCGCCCCCCTGGAAAATTTAGAAACCGGATTGGCAGTCACCCTGAACTGAGTTTTTGTAGGAAAATCGAAACTGTGATTCCTTTTGGACAAGTGTAGGCCTATCGGAAACAGGCTTTCATCTTGAATTTCTTGACCAAATCTCCTTGAATTTTAAAAATTTCTCCTTGTAATCTCCTAGAAATCTCCTTGAATTTGGTGGGAAGTTCATGGCAGGAACCCTGCTTGATGTTATTCCATGTCTTCCCTCTTTTCTGTTGTCCACTGTCCTTCATTGGTCTGCTGATGCATCTCTTCTGTCTCTCAAGATCGAAAAATAAATAGCTGTGTTTGTTTGTGTTGCTGTTACTTTCAGTTTTTACTAGGTCGGGCAGTTGGCCCTCTGCGGACTGGCTCTTTACTGGAGACCAGACCTACACACCTTTAGTCGCCTCTTACGACATGCAGTATCAAGGCAGGTGTATTCTTCGCTCCCCCATAATAGAACTGTGGACCCCCCACCTGCACGGGCGAAACCTTTTTATGCCAGGATTTCAAATCCTTTTGATGTTAGGAATTCAATTCCTGAGTTGGAAAGTTCTGCTGTGACAAGTATATCTCCTTTTGTCTGCTGAGATGTTGTGCCCCACTCAGCCCTGCCTCCCAAATATTCTAAATAGTGTCAGTTTTGGCATTTTTTTAAAATTGGGTTTTTTTACGCCCCCTTTGACTCAATTTAGATCATTAGGATGTGGATATCTGACCATGCTGACAAGGATACAATATCCCAGCATAAAGACCAAGATACTCGAAAAAAATTTCTGCCCTTATCAGAAATTTTACTCGGGTCTCCTGCTTTTGACATCAAACCATATAACCGCTACACATCAGATGTTGGTAATGGGAGCCTAAACCGTACACAATTTCCATTCATGACCTCAGAACAAGTACAACTTGTACCTGGACTATGAACTACACATGACCAACGGAGAAGACTTTTTGCACCAAGAATACTCTGCCGATGAGTTCTGTAAGTGCGTTGTGATTGGACAAATATATTTTGTTTGCCAGCTGTTCAGCTGTACTAAGCCCCAAATTTAAATAAGAAAAAAATTTGTTGCAGAGACCTAAGCAAAGTGTTGAGCCTAATTAGATGGGTGACGAACAGGGAAAGTTCAGGATCTGATAATGTCGCTTTTTTTAAATAGATAATCTGAGCAAAGGAATAAATGATTGCCGACGTCTGTCACTGATCTGGCACTTGATGATGATGAAGATAATGATGATGATGATGATGATGATGATGATGATGATGATGATGATGATGATGATGATGATTTATCACAGTGTTTTAATCTGTGGTATCAGTTGTATGTGCTCGAAGACTATCTTGTCAAAATTCAAATTCTAAATGCTGAAAAAAAGGGAAAAAATGATACCTGATGTAATTTTTGAAAAAAAACTGAAAGTTTTTTAAATCTCTCATAAAAAATTTGCTCTTTTTGTTTTGTTTAGAAAAGTTGAACAGGCTGCGGATGATTTCACAGTTTGTTTATTTGCTTCTATTACTCTGCTATTTCTGTTTGTGTGGGGAGTATGAAACAAAGAAAAATTATCTAATTTGTGTTATTAGGACCATCAATCATTTGAAAAATGAATTACGATAAGGTGTCAGGAGCATTTTAGGTCAGTTTTCTTTTTAACAGAAACTTTCTTCCTGTCTATATTAGGCTGGTTTAAATAAGTAAAGTTTTTAAATATATAAAATACAGAAAACTTCAAATTTCTCTGATATAAAAGTAGATGTAATATAAATAAATGTCTCAACTGTTAACATGTTAATGATATGCTGTGTGATGTTTGTCTTTTGGTATTTCTCCCAACAGATATATGGCGGTATCTTAACTCTTTATCTCTGGCAAACCGCTCCCAGCGGCTTGGGCACATTCTTTTATGATGACTTTGAAATCAAATTACTTTTCGGCAATTGCAGAAAAACAGGTCTTTTTTATCGGGATTTCATGAATTAGATCAAGAACTATCAAAATAGGTTCACTTCTTTTGATTTAATGATCAACTTAGTGACGATTTTGTCGCTTTTAGATTTAGTACCAAAAACAGGCCCCGGCATAGTGGGTTTACCCACCGCAGAGATAAAGAGTTAATTTAAGAAAGACACAACTGTAATCATGTTATCAATATATATATTGCCAGTAGAATGTTTGTGTTTCTGGTGTTTTTGACGTTTGTGTTTTTGACATTTCTCTCAACAGATATCGTGGTCATCGACATTGTGTTCTTCATTCTGTACCTCATCCTCATGGGTCTTTCCATCCTCTGTGCAGGTGAGGTGTCACGTGGAATAAAGAGGGAGACGTTTGGAGGGGGG